ATATAATTTCAGTCGAAAATGCTATTTGATCTAATTAAAACTCTAAAGCTAGCGCCCTTGACAGGTACTCCAGGACCCGAAATCCTAATTGAATTAAGAATGATAAGAACCTTTTAGAATGTTCTAGAAGACCAAAACCATTCCTAATTACATTAGGAATGATAAATCATATTAGGCCCTCCCCTAGATCATTGGGCCGTACTTAAAACTCAAACGGGCCCAGTTTAGTAAATTGGCCATAACTTCCTCAATATTCATCGGAATTGGGCTTATAATATATCGTTGGAAAGGTCTTTGCAAGCCCCATCCAACTACACCACTATTGGACCCATATCATGGACCAACCAAACTGGATTGACTGTTTTCTTAAAATAAAGTTTTCAAAAACAGAGAGAAGAGAAAAGAAAATAAAACTTTCCGCAACACTAGACCTTTCCACACTTTCGTTTCATTCGATTATGATTCGACGTGAAAGGTACTCATCACTGGGTTTGGTTTTGGGGAGACACAAATGGGTGTCTACAATAACCCATGAGGGAATCGAACCCACAACCTTGTGCAAATGCACAATGCTCTACCGTTTGAGCTAATAGGTTTCACAAAATCATTTTTTGTTATCTAATAATATCCGAAAATTCAACTTATGAATGCAAAAAAAAATGATACAACCAAGAGTAACTCTGCCTATTACGTAGTATATATTTTAGATCTCAAAAAAAGGAGCTAATATGTTTCTTATTCCACTAATCAGTAAGCACAACAACCAATATATCAAGGCACTAGGCCACTAACCATTTCCAAGAGTATCATAGGTTTCGTAACAAATGAATCAAAAAACACAAATTTTGGGTAAAAAAGAACAATTTTTAAAAACCATAATTAACAAATATTGTAGAATTTGTAAAATAAAAATCAAAAACTTTATTTAATTGCAGATCCCTGAAACTAAAATTATGATTGATCAAAAGCAATAAGAAACGTTTAATTGGAAACCCCAACTTTAATTGGGAACCCCTAAAAGTAAAATTGTGAAAAAAAGGGAAAAAAACCGTCAAATTTACCTTGAATTGGTCTTCAGTCGGTGGGAGTTGTTGCTTGCATAAATTAAGAGCCAATGTAAATGAAAAAAAAGATAAGTTTAAAGGAAACAGAAATAAGGGAAAGAGAAAAGAGAGGAGAGAGAAAGAAAGGAAACCAACCATACATATGAAATAGAAACGTGGGAGGGGGATGAAAGAGAAGGGTGAATTTTTAATATTCTAATCTGAGCCGTTGGTGGTTACTAAAATCTAAGGGTTGAGATTTCTTTTCTCATTTCTTATTTCTCATTCTAGCAAATCCCTATATATATACTCCCTCCGTTTCTTTTTACTCGCAACAAAGAGGGGAAGAACGGACTCCTAGGCAAAAAATTGAAACCATATATATATAACCTAGACTAATTATATCTTTAATTATAAATAATAACAATTGAATAATAATTTACTTATTAAGATGATTTCAACAACTACCTACAATATTTTTTTTTTCTTATGTATTCTTCAAAAATATTGGTCAAAGTATATTTAGGGCCTGTTCGGCATTAGCTTTTAAGGTAGCTGTTAGCTTTTAGATCTAGTCAAAACACTACCTTAAAATAATATTAGTGTTTCGGTCAACCATAATGTCAAAATTTTCTATTTCATATCTTTTTTTCTTTTATTCCTTTCATTACGAGGAGTATTTTTTTTCTATCTTTTATTTTATAAATTGATTATTTATTAGCAATATACATTATAATATAAAATTTTAAAAATTATCAAACATATGATACATAACACGTCACAATAATAATAATAATAATAATAATAATAATAATAATAACAATAATAATAATAATAATAATAATAATAATAATAATAATAATAATAATAATAATAAAGTTTCAATCGCTACCTTTACCGAACACTCATAGTATGAACCACTACCTTGACAGCTGACCTCTAACAGCTACTACTTGACAGCTCACAGCTACCTCTACAACTCACAGCTACTCAAAAGCTGATAGCCAACAACTATAGCTAATTTTGCCAACCCTTAGTGAATAGCGCCAAAATCCGACACTTAAAAAAACAGAGAGAGTAGTTTCAAACACAAAATAGCGCAACACAGCAACTCCGATGGTTGCTTTTAAAGACTAGCTTGCAATTTTAATAATTTTTAAGCTAATAGTCAAACCATTGGAGGATAATTCAATAATTAGCTTGGCTAACCTAATTAGCTTAGAAATTAATTGTCTTTAATATAAAATATTAATTATTTTTAGGTTAATTTTTAAATTACCACCCAAAAATGTAACCATTTTTTAACTAATCATCTGTTTAATTTTTTATTTTAAATTACCACCCCTTAAATTAAATAAATTCTCAGATTACCACCCATTTCAAAAATCCAGTGGATTTTCTGTCTGCAGGCTCCACCTAACACTTATTTTGACCCTTTTGACTGATTTTTTCCCCGATTTTTCTCTTTATCAACACTCTCTATAATTTAATTCACATTTTCTTCACCAAATTCTACCAAATTTCAAAGAGAAAAATGTGAATTGAAATTAGGAGAGCGTTTTTAAAGAGTCAAAATAAATGTTAGGTGGGGCCCACAACCGGAAAATCCACCGGATTCATGAAATGGGTGGTAATCTAAGCATTTATTTAATTTAAGGGGTGGTAATTTAATATAAAAAATTAAACGGGTGGTTAGTTCGAAAATGGTTACATTTTTGGGTAGTAAATTAAAAATTTTCCTTATTTTTAAAATATTTTTCGAAAAACTAAATGACAATTAACTTAATCATTTTTTTATTTTTTTTTGGTGCATCTCCAACTCACTTTATATTTGATGATATTAGAAAAGATAGGTTGCTCTTTGATGTATGTACTTTTGCTCATGTAAATCGTAAATTTAATACAGTGACTCATCTTGTAGCCAGAGGTGATATCGTTGACAATGTTGAGTATGTACGATTGAGTTCCTTTCCTCAAAGCATTACAACTTTTGCGGATTTGGACCTTATTAAAAAAAAAAAGAAAAAAAAAAGACTCGTAATCCCATGACGATAAGGATACAAAATATATACAAATATTAACCTAATCTGCAACAAATATTATCATAACTATAATATCTAGCGTATAACAATTTGTCAAAAATAAACCAAAAAACAAAAGTATCATTCTACATCATTGTGTAAGGCAAGCATAAAATAAAAAATAAAATAAAAAATAAAAAAACCTAACAAACAAACAAAAACAAATGAATTAGCAATTCAACCTTTTCCATCCTTTTAAATTGGGTTGTTAAAATTATTATTCACGTGTTTCAAGAAGAATATAGGTAGGTGGATAATTGATTTAACATTGTGTTGAATTATAGTGTTTCCAAACAAATAAAAAGGTGGATTAATGCACATTCTTCGTATTTCTTTGAATCTTCCAATTTTGTGGTTACATTTTCATAATAAGTGTTCGTGTTCCTTTTGATTAGTTAATTGAATTATATATATATAGTTCAGCAACTTTGATTTTTTTTTTTTTGTTTTTTTTTGTTTTGTTTTTGGGACAAGAAAAAGAGTATTATTATTAATAAATAGCCATACGACATCGTCAGCACTAATAAAGATTTGTAAACCACATATCTAGAGAAAAATAACACATCTTGTACAATCAAAATCATAGCTAATTTGCATATCGAATATAGCTCACACTTCACCGCTTCAAACTTGACGCGAACAGTGATTTTTGATGTCTTTGCATCTTTCCTAGTAGAGACCATCACAATTTGCGTTGATGTTTTGATCGTAGAGTTGATAACGAACCCTAAACCATATGAATCCAAATTACCTTCTCAACTATTATCAAAAACCCTAAAAATAAATTTTCATCCATAGATGAGAATCAAAATCCCAAAAAATTGGAAAAATCCCAAAAAAAGGGAAAATACCAAAGGACAGACTTCACAAACGAATAGAACAAAACAAAGCAAATTTTAAAAAAAAAAAATCAAAGAAAAAAGGCCAAAATTAGTCTAATTTTCAATGAAACTTGACTGAAATTAGATTATTTCCAGCCTAAACAGCTAAGAAAATTTATGTAGCAATTGACTATGTAACTCTCAAGTATGAATATCATGCCAAACTATTTTTTTTTTTTTTTACTCTGTAAATTAGTTCATCATGATTGTTATTATTACTATTTTGTAAATTGGTAATTGTAAGGTAGTCATGTGATGATTTTTAATAGCTTTACTTATAAAAAAAATAATAATAATAAAAAAAAAAGGTTGTGCAATTCAAGTTCAGATATCCTGTATATTTTACCCAAACAGTAATATTAAGCAATAAACAGGTAAAACGGGGTTGATTCAGGTCAACCAATTTATAAATAGGCTGAGTTTAGGTTTAGGACGCAGGCTTTCAACCCAAACTTGATCCAACCCAACCTGATTGACACCCCTATTTTTATTTATCAACTCATGTGGAACAAAAAGAGTAGTTTTCTTCTGCTCAAAACATCAATTGAAAATACAATGCAAACGTGCTGTTTAGACAAAGCACTTTATTCATTTTAACAGTAGAAGTTATAAGATTTAAGTATTAGATCCATATTCTTTCTCATATAAACAACCCTCAAAGCACCTATCTGTCAATAGGCCTATGCCGAAGGTTAAATAAGGACCTCGACTTCTACCGTTTAACTCTACTAGCTCCATCAAAAAACTACAAACCCGACTAGACCTTCAAATGGTAGATCGAGCATTTAAACATTAGCATAATACACGGAGCAACCAAAGACGGCTTCACCTAATGAGAGATGTGCTTTGTTTGGCAATCGCCCAAGAAAGACTACGAAGCAAGCCAACTGCAGAATTCCCACATGTAGCTTGGAAGTAATGATACTGGATAGCACGCAACTAAAATTAGAACAAAGTGTAAACATTCACAACAAGGATATAAAACAGGGCCAAGATTAGCAGAAAATCATAATTTACATCAATCAGTATAACCCACTTCATCATTTAATATCCCCAAAACACATATACATGCTTATGTTGTCCATTTTGCAACTACAGAACTAGATTAAATGCCCTGTAACTTCATAGATATGATTATATGACTAAATAAATCAAGTATTCCATTGAACTATCATTAAGTAACCTCGGTATCTGAGTACATAATTTACACTTCATACAACTGATTACAAGTGCCACTGAACCACAGTTAACCGCCCAGCAACACTACAACTGATTACAAGTGCCACTAAACCACGGTTTACCGCACAGCAACAGTAATAATATATGATGATGAGAAATGGTTACGCCGTTACTGTACAAACAAAATGCAAGATTCGCTTATTAAAATTGCTCAGGATAGTATATACAGCAAATAGGTGTAGCTTTTGAAGCCAAAAAATTGTTGGGGGATAGAGAAGGGAACCTATAAGTTGCAACTGCTATACATTTGGCCGGAAAGGGAGGGTGGGAGGAGAAATCTGGCTAAATATGATACAAAGAGGATACAAGAGGCTTTGGTGCAAGGACCTTTTGGGATGGGAGTAGCCACCATGTCAGTCTCATTTGAACAGGGAACAGATGACGGGAAAATTTCGAGCGGCTGCTTATCTAAATTATGGATCTTCATCTTATTATATAAGACAAATACCTCTTCTATATGAAATAGCTCAGGAGTTTCTCTTCCTTGATCCACCTTCACCATATAAATCATTCCATGCAGGAGCTAAGCTCATCTAAATTAAGGATCTTCATCTCACTATATATAAGACAAATACCTCGTCTACATGAAATAGCTTAGGGAGCTTCTTTTCCTTGATCCTCCTTCACCATATAAGTCATTCCACTGCATGAGCTCATTCATGTTGGTGGACTCTGCTGAGAAGCTTGCACATACCTACATTCCATCACAATAGTTATCAGTAACAATATCAAATAATGACGGATCATATAATGACATCACAAATTCCATAAATAACAATGCAAGCCATCAGCAGTCCAAGTTGTTATCAGCAACAATCTATAAACGTATAACTACGACAAATGTACATGACATCAGCTACTACTAAAAACTATTTTATTGAAGCTGTTAGAGTATTGTAACCGACTCAAAGCAGAGTGGACAGATTACCTGTTCTTGAGCATATTTAAAGTCGCTCATGTTTAAAGGACGGACATCTTCACCACTGTATAATACAGGTGATCTGCTCTCAGCTAAAGCTAAAGCTTTTTCCTGAAAAAAAGCAACCATAAAAATCAACAAACCTCACACATTAAATACATTGTAGGCTATATATAATATCTTCAATTGTCAATTGTCTCAATAATTCTACAAAAGTCAATACTGTTTTGATCACTCTGCCAAATATTATCAAGGATACCGGGTCAAAGATTATTGCAATGAAATCATAGGGTAACTGGATATCCACAAAACATGTATATATAAAAATTAGTGATTCTGATGCTAATAGAAAATGACAATACCTTCTTCTCTGTCTCCAATATCTCTCGGATGGGACAATAGGCCGCAGTTACACAAAGATTCTGACCAAACAATAAAAAAAAAAAAACCAAAATCACTACAAGTTTCAAACATAAGGTGTAACAAAGATCAAATAAAGGTATACAGTCAAAACCTTCAGGTCACTTCCAGAATATCCATCCGTCATATTCGCAACCACAGCCAGATCAACGTCAGGTGCCAACTCTTCTTTAGCTAAAATTACACTCAAAATCTTTTGCCTATTAGATGCATCTGGCAAGCCAATCATCAATCTGCCACAAGAACAAATACCAGACAAATCAATTTACCACTTAATTATTCTTTTTAGTTAAATACTGTATGAAAAAGTGAAGAAAAAGACCTCCGAGGCAGCCTCCTGATAACAGCTTCATCCAGGTCAAAAGGCCTATTTGTCGCTGCAAGCACCAACACACGTTCTCTATCCTTTGTGCGCAAACCATCCCAATTCACCATAAACTCATTCTTCATCTTTCTCATAGCTTCATGCTCACCCGGATTTTCACGTCTTCCTAACATGCTATCAACCTAAAGCAACCATTTGATAACATAAGCAAACAAAAAAAAAAATCAGGGAACACATAGGGAGGGGAATTCCCCTTTCATCCATTTAACACAACAAACATCTTAACCAACCTCGTCAACAAAAATGACGCTGGGAGCTATCTTACTAGCCAGTGAGAACACTGCTTTGACATATTTCTCTCCTTCACCGAACCACTATCAGAAAAACAGATTAACACATCAATATCGTAAAGCAAAATCAGGCAAAAAAAGTGCAGGCAAATAAATGATTTTAAATATATACCTTCGATGTGATGCTCGACATTGAAATGTTGATGAAATTTGCACCAGCCTCTGTAGCAACAGCTTTTGCAAGCATAGTTTTTCCAGTACCAGGGGGGCCAAACAGCAGTATTCCCTTGCAAGGCTGAAGAAGAACAGTGACTTAGATTTTAGGAGACGGGATATAAAGAATTTGAATACACAAATATCGTTAAGTAGCAAACCTTTGTCAATTGTCCTTTCGAGAATAGCTCTGGTCTTTGAAGAGGTAACATCACTAGTTCCTTTAATGTATCCTTCACATTTTCCAAAGCCCCAATATCATCAAAAGTAACTCCAATTTCACTAGCTGGAATAACATCCGTCAAAAGCTTCTTTTCAAATTCATTCTCAGTAACTACATCCTGAAAAACAAACAAATTGGTTCAAGTCTGATTAACTGAAAAAGAAATAAATCTGCATAAACCATCTTTCAATCTTTCACCCCAAAAAATATGCAGTTAGGTTCATTCACACGTATCTCAGCGAATGAACCTGCCAAGGAGGTTCAAATCTCTTGTCGAATCATTCTCAAAACATTCTTTTGCCAATATTCAACAGAACAGGAAAGAGGTGCACATCTGATACCTTCAATGACTTCTTGGTACTCTTGGTTTCATTTTGAACACCATGCAAAATATTAAGCCCGTGCCTAATACTGCAAAAAGGAATTCAATATTTCACAAAGAGGATATTGAATTTAGACATGTAAATTTACTGATTTTTAACCTTCTCTTACATAAGAGGAGGGGGGGAAGGGGGAGTTTGCAAGCCATAATATAACAACCTTTCGCTAGAAATAACGAGTTTTGAATCATTTACAGAAGGTTCGGCACAATGCATGAAGTGACGAGTTAACGCCCAACCAATTACTTTGTCTGCGTCTGAAAAATCAGAAGATAAAATGTAAGACAAACCTTGTCATCTAATTAACCAAGACATAATTATAACATGATCAGGAGACTAACTTTCATTAGAAAGTGCTTGATCCTTAATCGATAGTGTCTCAATATCATGACAGTCAATTCCAGTGCGGTTCAGTACCTATATTACACAAAACCACAATAATTAGTAAATCAAGCCTAGCCTAAACAGCAATCGATTTTCTCTGTGCATAATTTAGAATACTAGGTCTACTAACTCGGGAAACAATTACTAATACGGAGTGAGTTAGGATGAGCAACAAAGAGCTATAAGCTTAAATAGCTATTTATAATAAAACGCATTGGTTCATACAAACTAACACACTAGTCATGACTTACAGAACGTATGCTAACAATGTTTGACTGTGCTTTTAGAGTTTCCATGTCACGCTCCAACTTCTGCTTCCAATCTAATAGAAGATTCTCATCCTATAACAAAACAGAAAGGCTATGATTGTATAAACTAAGGTAAATCAAAAGACGTCATGAAAAGAGAATATCAATCAGTACCTGAGGCATCTGTATGGTGACTCTGTTTGTGAAAAGACGGGTTAGTTGTTTCATTATCTTGGATGTGTCCTTGTTGTTTCGATCGCTTAGCCGGCCAAAATTGTCCTGAATCAAAAGAGATAATTACCCTTAGTAACGTGTTCAATTTCACGCACACACACAGACACATACACAGAGAGAAAGAGAGAGAAAAACATAGCAAGAAGTTGAGCAAAGAAATTTTCCAGCATGAAGCCAAGAAAATCTCTTTACTAAGAGCTTGTGCTAAAGTCCAGCATCCTAAACCTTTAAAAAGATCATTAGGAGCACTGCTGTTTTCAGAAAAATAACTTAGTTTTCCAAACATACTAAACTACATAAATAAAATGTCAGTGAAGGATCACCTAAAGCAGAACAATAAAAAAGCATACTCCTTTAAGCAGCTTTTCGTTCGATATGCTTTTCAAGAAATTAAAAAAGAAAAATAAATAAATAAATAAAAGCACCAACAAAATCATGATTGTACAGAAATCGGTCATAATAGCTATTATATTTTAAGTATTTAACATGTTTGCCTTTTTGTTCGTGTTCAAAAATTCATCGTGTAACCATTAGTTTTTCAAAAATTCCCCATGATACCACATACCCAATACATAGATTTTCAAAAAACATCACAACATAGCTATGGGTTTTCAGAATACATATTTTTGAACAATTTTTCTCCAAGATGCTTCTAAAAAAAGATGAATCAATAATCAAAAACTCTGTCAAAATCCTTGCAATAAAATTAAGTTTAACTTTATATATTAAAAAAGTAATTTTATACAGAAGGTACCCCTAAGAGCATCCACAATGGTTGTGCATAAGAACCTGCTAGCAATTTCTTAATAATTGCTACATGCTAGCCATTGTGGAGCAACAACTTCTTGTAGCTAAGCCAAACTACATAGCTTAGAGCTATGTAGTTTCACTCCACCCAAAACTGATATATTTATTTGTTTAATATATTGAAAAGACTAATTAAATAACATGTCATCGTGTGGGACATAATAAAATTACAAAAGGAGTAGCTTGCCATTGTTGAGGTTGTAGCTTAAATCATGTAGCTTGAGAAATAATGATGTGGCAACCTTAGCTACATGTACATGTAGCTAGCCATTGTGGATGCTCTAAGGTTTTTAAATACATAGTATTGTACACAAAGTTCCAACTAATTTTCAAAAACTCACCATGTACTCCCTGAGTTTTCAAAAAAAACCAATGACATTCCTACCTAATTGGCTAATTAATCTCTCAATCCCATCACCCCTCTTCTCCGTTGAATATATTCCACCAAATCAATTAATAGAGAACAAGGGAAAATGATGAAATTAAGAGGGCGATAGGGAGTTTTGGGTGTTCGTGAGAAATCATTAAGTTAAGATGTGTTATAGGGGAAACAGGATATGACATATGAAAGAGGAGGCATATAAGGTAGTGCAATATAATTCAGTTAGTAGTGTCTTGAGGAAGAAGATTGGTGAATTAGATACAATAATAAAACTATAAATGAGAGAACATCAGTAAGAGATTGTTATAATAAAATATTGTATGAGCAATTAGGGTTAGCATGTGATTCCTGTTTATAATCAATCAATCTCTTCATCGGTTAATTCTTGCATTACTTCTCTAAACTCAATTCATAGTTTCATAGCATTATTGGTATTCAATTCAAATTATAAACCTTTAAGGGACCCTATGAATATTAAAAAAAACAGTGTACCCAATGCATTTTTAATTCAACCTGAGGGCCTTGAGGGGTAAACAGTAAAAGTAATCAACAAGATACAATAACTCAACCCTTATCGGTTCGGCAGTTTGTGCGGTAGAAAGTAACCCTACCATTTTCTTCAAAAATAAAACAGGCACTTTAAGAGATAACACAAAAATATGTATCAAAAAAAAAATCAACCATCACTCTTCAAATGTATTTCCATGCTTGTTTATTGCCTATTGGCAAAAGAGCGGAGTCAAGGGTCAATCCGAGCTTGTGATGGTCAAAGCACTCACAAACGGATTCGATGACAAGATTTAACACTTTGTTTGGATAGAAAGAAATGGAAGGAGAAGAAGAGTAGAGAAAGGGAGGGGGACAAATTCTCTTATTTGGGAAAAGGATTGGGGGAGAAAGGGGAAGGAGAGAGAGAGAGGGATCCATTTTGCCTCTCTTTTTAATAAGCATAATCCCTCTAAAATTGGAGAGATTTGGAGGAAAAATGGAGCTCACCTCCCCCTCCCTTTCTTTTCCCTTCCCTTCCTGCTTTTCCCCTCCCCTCCCTTTCCTTCTTTGCTATCCAAACAAAGCGTAACTGTTTTAGGGTTTTTGTGAATTTATCTCTTTAGGCTCTTTAGGGGTGTCATAAATATGAGGCAGGAATATATCTATTAAAAAGTACAATACCACACAAAATCTAAACAAGGAGGCAAAAATGAGTTATAAGAATATGTGGTACACAAGTGTATATCCGGAATTGAGAGACCCAGACATGAAAACGGAAAACTAAGGATGAAGATCTGGAGTCAAAGAATCAATTTTAACTTTACCAAAAACCTAAACACAAAAGAATTCAATTTACAACACAATGCACCAATGTTGTATAAAAAAGAGATAATAATCCATAAACGGAGGTTTTGACAGGCATACCGGAAAAGCAAGATCAAGCAAAGCTGTGTGGTTGCTGCCAAATTTTGTAAATAACAATCCACCTGGATGAGACTGCAAAAACATTTGCGTTTCACAAAAGGAAATGTCATAAAATTAACAAATGTCTAATAGAGACTAAACATCAAGAAAGGTGTTTAGGAAAGACTAAGATACATAAAATATAAAATGACAAGATACCTTCTCTTTTCGACTGTCTGCTTGAGTGTGGGAAGCAATCACAACCAAATTATCCGGCAGATTTTCAAGCTTGCTTTTAAGTTCCACATATGCCTCGGGATTCCCTGCCATGCACTTCTCCATATCTTTCAGAAACAGAATCACAGGGCCACCTTTACATTCATCTTTTGCAATCTACGAAGACACATCAACAAGTTACAAAATGATGATGAGAAAAAAAAACACCCGCATTACAAAAAATATATTCACCTCAAAAATTTCATTCACTGCAAGTCTGTCAGCATCATCACCACCCGAATTTTCCAAGCATAACGAATCAGCTAAAAGTAAAACCATCAACAATTATTAAGCCAACAGAATAGGGAGAAGCAAATGTCAATGCAGACAGTTTTAAGTGAAAATGCAAGAGAAGAGTGTCAGAAAGAAAATCACCTTGACAAAAGAAACCATGATCAGTTTCACAACGGCCTCCAAGATTGTTACCTTCAGGAACAGATTCATCAAATCTGACGCCAATTTTGGAAGACTGGTTATCCTTGAAGACAAGGAGAACCTTTCCTCGGTTACCATATGAAGGTCCCCTTCAAACACAAACAAAAAAGTAGAAGAAAATCAACAAGAAAATACCACACAGTGGAATATTCAGGCATAAAACATTACATTTGGAAGAAAAAACCATCACCAACTACATGCATATTAGTCATTTCATTGCAATGGCCCAAAAGATATGACTTGTAACACAAAGCAATTTGATGATAAATAAGAAATTATATATCACTTCTGTTTCACAATATCCGCATAGCTTTGACTACATTTTTTAGTTATTACATTAAAGACAACTATTATTTCGTAATATGTTGCTGGATTGGTTGCAATTTATATATTCAAAACAAAATATTTACAACTACTTCTGTCCCCAGATAAAAGTTCTATTAATCTTGGGCATAAATTAAAGCCTCCTTTCTCCCATATAAATTGATTTATTCATATTTTAATCAACCAACCATCACTAGCACCTTATCATATTCACATTTAACCAGCCATTGCCATACCCCCACTATCTTGTATTTTACATTTACCTTCAATCAATCAAACCCACTTTTTTATTTTTAAGTTTTACCTTCCAACAAAACCACACCATCAAAGTTTTTAACCTAACTTCCTAAAAACAAGTAAAAGGTAAATCTGACTGTTCTTAGGGAGGAAAAGGAATGTGTGAAAATAAAAAATATATAAAATGGTCAAAGATGTGCATTAGTAAACGTTAAAAGTCAAAACAATGCATGTGTTGCAAAACAGATGAGGCATATATGACAACTAGAAAAACACTTATGGTAGCAACCCCCATATCAAAATCCAAATACCTCCCCAAACATCATACTCAGAAAACGAAGAAGGTCAAGGTGTGCGCTTTCTGGCACCTTTAGGAATGCACTACGCCTGGGAAGGCAAGGCGTTTTGGTCTGCGCCTTGACTCGCCTGGTGCCAACTATTTAAATCTAAATACATCATGAATTATACTGAAAGATAAACTACTGAAAAATTGACATTTCAGTGAATTCAAATGCCAAGCTGTAGCATTAGCAGCATAATGGAATGAGAAGGCTGGTGATGAGATGTTGCTAGAAGTATCAATGAAAAATACCATCAAACCGAAAGTGATACATGATTTGAATAGATAAACAAGATTAAAAACAAATAAAAAGCTCAGAGCAAACAGAGCACAAGCAAGTTTTTCTACAGTAGTCAGAGTGCTCAAAAGGCAGAGACACTAAACATGTTTCAACTTTGGTATGTTGTGAATCATTGGCAACTACATTATCAATTTCCTATAAAACTAAATCATGGTGCAGCAACTCTCTCTCTCTCACTGTCACCTCAAATTTTTGTACAAGCTTATAATTGAAAGACATCATGAAATGTAAATAAAACAAGGGCTCTAGAAGATACAGTGCAATTAGTCAACATCAACAAGAATTTGGACCAAAAAAAAAAGAAATCAACATAGGCTTAATAGTAAAGTGACTCCAATTGCTTTGAACATACCTCAATGGCAATAAAGGTGGAACTCCAGAAGGCATTGGACCTAAAAATTTTACTCTATCCCCTGCACATGATTAAAAAATTATAAATAAGATTCTTAGACAATGAGGGAAGACAAGAAACTACAACATAATGACATATGGTAACACTCTAAATGAAAAAAGGCAATTCAATTCTTCATTACATTTGCATGGCTTAGAAACAGAAAATTATTTCCAATAAGTAAAAATCATTTTACTTAGCAAATAAACAATTCTAACCCGGCAAAATAAATTCCATTTTAAGTCAGGTGTAGTAAACAAAGCCTCCTACAACTTTTTTTCTGGACTTAAATGATTAATACCAATATTTAAAAACATGTGGATAAAAACATAGCTTTTGCTTACATCATTTGAATTGTCAAATTGTACTTATCAAAAACAAATTTATTACTATAGAGTATGTCATATTGTGCTAGAATATAGTCATCCGCAGTAAGTTATAAATTTCATGCAATTGTATAATTAATGATACAAAGGAGCAGGTTATTTAAGCTTTTACACAACATTGGATTCATTTAGACAAACAAAAAAATAAAATATGAATGGGATTATAATCATGGATTAGCAATCGCGGGGGGCATCCTCCATAAGAGCTTTTAAATGTTCACTTTGAAATACAAAACCCCCTCCTTTCCAATATTCGACCATATCACTAACCCTTCTATGTTCTATCCATCCCACTTCCCCACTCCTCCAACAGATGCCAGCCACCACCTCAGCTCCGATATGAGTCCTTCACAATGGTGCACTTTAGAACTAAGGGTAAAGGAGAGTGATTCACTCTTTGAGTTATATTAGTCTATTATCAAACTACTACACCAGCTAACAATTCATATCCTCAAGGACATTGTTGAGGGTGGAGAAAAAATTCGGCCACAAATAACATCACTTTTCAGCCTCGAAAGCCCTCGACAATAGAGGCTTATCAAAGCCAAGTACAGAGTTGGACAGGTTGTAGATTAGAGTGTACAAGTTAGTGTGGGGTCAGGTAGGTTTTCACACCCTCCCCCGCCCCCTCCCTCTTCCGAATCCATAAGACGGATCCTCCATGCCTAATAAATATCAATTTAAATACTACGTAATATACTTCCAACACTGTCTCCAACAGGAAGAAGAAAATGTTCATGCAATAAGAGCTCAGAAAATATATTTACTTGAAAAGGACTTAAAAAATTACGGAGAAATCAAGAGAATTATCTGAATTATTATGTTATAAATATAAACCGTCTATGTGTGTGAACCAGCCTAAAACAGATATATATGGAAAACATGTACAGGGAAAGATATCGCCATTAGTATTTTACATAATCAACGTGTAAGAACCAGCCTAAATCAAATAGAATGATATCTTGGTAAAGAAAGAAACATCAAGACAATAGAAGGTGAAGTACACACCTTCTTTGAAAATGTACTTTTTAGAAGATGCAGTTGATGCTTCTTGCTTTGGGAGTCGCTGAGCTGCAACAGCAGGTCCCGTAATCTCCGCCTCAACACTTGACGCTTGTTTCTTTTGTCGTAGAGAAGCCACAACTGATGAGCGTTTTGCATGAAGACTAGATTTCTCAGGTCTAGAGTGTTCTTTAGAAGTATCAGCTTCCTTTGCAGTTGGTCCCTGTGACAGTGAAAATCTTAGTTTCTGATACCTACCCTCCTCCCCCAAGGAGGGATATATATATATATATATATATATATATATATATATAAGCATTGCCAAGCCACCATGGTACAAAATCCTTAAATAGTAAGAAAAAGAAAAGAAACGGCAGCCAAAAAGCTCACCCCAGGCAGAATAAGACTATCAACAACAAGAAGTCTTGCACCAAAATGCTTAGCTAGTGCCTTAGCTAAAGTTTCCTGATATATCTCTGAACCTGAAATGTAATTTCGACATTAATGACATGAGAGTATGAAGATATTCACATAGACAAAAATCAGAAACTATGTTCCGTAGCAGCTTCAGAACTTTTACGAAGTAGCTTAAAACAGGAATATCATCACACACACATACAATTCTCGTTAATGATACGAGCGTATTAAATACAGACAAATAATTGCAACTGTGTTCAATAGCAGCTTCAGAATTTTTTACTAAGTAAAACAGGAAATCTTATCATCACACATAAACAATTCACATTATCTAATATAAAATGATACCTAAATAACCTAATTAATGCTATTTGCAAATCAATCAGCTTCTTCCCAGAATATCCTTTTTTTATATCAGTTTCAGAAATCAGCAACTACACATATATAATCATTTGCATTTACTTGAAAGCAGTTTGTGAGCCTGTGTTGATAAAAAGCTACAGTACCTGCAGGTCCAGATAAAAGTACCCTTGGGCACACAGTGGGAAGCTCTGACGCATACTTCAGCATTTTGCTACACTTCAAGGGTATGTATGCAGCAGCAACCAATACATTCTTAGTAGTCTCGCTGTTTCAGCACAAAATTCTATAAGAACTTAATGAAGACATGCACCAAATCTCATGCACACCAAATAATTTCCAATTGATTATGAAGAGAGTGAAAAAGGCATAACATCAAGACACAGTAAGTGCTAGAAAAAAAAGTACTAGGAATGAGGTAAGAAAAAACAACATAGATATACAAGCACGGCAACAGGACAAGATGTTCCCAGTTTGGATAATCACTTATCTCACTCTTCATGCACATACATACAAAGAGAATGAAGACCAAATCGATTAACAACAAATGTAAGAAGGCTACACTATCAGTGGTAGGCCAAAATCATACTACATAAGACTTCTTGACATACATAAAATCATATGCGTAGCACATATACATTGGTATGGGACCACATTAGAAAAGTACTTATAAAACACACATAGCAAGGATCATAGAATAAAAATGCAGTTTCAGTCGCGATCGCGGAAACAGTCACGTTAATGCGGTAACGGAAATAATGCGTTCAGCGCAGACTGTGTCACCGTCGTCGCGGTAGAATTTTTGTTTGACTTTTTAAAGTATTAAATTTTTTTAATAATAAAATAATTTTTTTAACCAGATTTTCAAATATCTATTAATTTTATTTGTAATTGAAAACTAAAAATAAGTTTAACTAACAGTTAAAATATCAAAAGTAAGTTTTACTAGTAGTCACGTGATTCCATTTTAAAGAATAATGTAGAGAACGGTGGGGGTCAAAGTAAAATAAAGAAGAAAAAAATGATGAGCAGCTTTTACTTATAACAACCGCATATTGTTGCCAGCTGTCCCACTATTGCCACCCATGACCCATCTTCACTTAACCCCCGCCTTTCACCTTTTCCCTCTTTCAATCCATCAAGCAGCCGGCAAATCGGCAACAATGGAGTTTGCCATGAAAATCTGATAAACCAACAAATATAAGATACTTCTCGAGTGATCCAGAGGTTTATCGGCCGAAATTCGGCTGTCGGGTCAAAACTCGGTCTTTTATAAAAGGCCGTTATAAAACGGCAAATCTCTAACGGTAGCCTGAAATTCCGTTACAAATCGTCTGCAACACAGCGTATCGGCCGTGATTTTATACTATATCAAGAACTAGAGTATCATTTTCTAACTGAACAATACCTACAACTTATGTTGAATACAGAAGTAGAAAGAGAAAAAAATCAGCCACATTGTCACGCCATTCTACTACACTGCTACCTTTTTCTCCATTGCCAACACCACACTACTGCCTAATAAACAACTCAATTTTTTCATTCACCGCCTAGATCGTCACATAAAGCACAAACCAATTTATATTTAGTATAATAAATCAATTGATGATCAGATATTGTAGTTCGATCATACACTGCATTCTCTGATATAGATCCTCTTAAGAGGATTAAAAGAACAAGCAAGTCACAATCAAGATACAGAGAAATCAATGAACCACTTCATCTCTTAATTAAAGCCATCATGAAGAAAAAAGAGAATAAGTTTTTTTCATAAACTCTCAAAGGGTGCTAAAGCCTGGACCAATTGTGATAAAGATACTGTAAAAGCAATCCAAACACCCGCTATAGCTGTCATCTTCAATGATCACAACCACCTAGTTGTTGTCAAGGATCGGTAACATTAATAAAATCCAAGCAACAGAAATGAATGAGGCTAGAAAGTCTTTTGACCATTGATCTTTGTTGGCTAGTTTTGAGTATGTGTGATAGGTTTTGGTGGTGAGCATGGGATGGGGCAAAGTGAAAATTTGACAAGACAAAGGAACAACGCAAATTCAAAGAAGGGAGAGAGGAGGGAACAAGAGACTGAGAGAGAGCAGAACTAGGGAAGAACAAATATACATGAAGGGTTTCTAGACTAGTATGTTTCATTAAAACCTCATAATTATTTTTTATAGGCTCAAAAGAAAAGTTGAATAAAAATACATCTCTTAAGGACACTTTTACCATTAAAAACCATTAGATTTGGCTAATTTGTTAATCTAGAAATCTCCTCACACTTGTCATGTTAATCACTTTTCAGTGTGTGCTTATGTGTATTATATGATTTCTCCATCATCAAATAAGTGCAACATTTCTTTGTTTTGGATCATGGGTCTACTTCATGCCTATCCCATGCCACTGAATAGAATTATTAGAGAAAAATGTAGTATATAAACATAAATCATCACATGTGTATGTGAATGTATACTATTATATTAACATAGAAAAAAACCTACTCACATGAACAAGTGCATCTGTGTATGTGTGGATTTTCCCAAACACACAGTTATACTTGTACACGTAAGCAACAAAAAATTACAAAAATAACAATTTGATTGAACAATACACTGACCAGTACACTATTTTACCCCAGACACAAGTATAAGAAAAGAATATGATATCCATGTGCCTATCACATCATGGCTAAAAAGTTTTAGACATCAATAACTTTATTAAAGAGTTGGACAATGGAGCAGCACCCAAGTACACAGCATTCGGGAAATATTAACTGATATTCAAAAAAAAAATGCATAGACTTCCCAATTATATTGTTTGCAAAATTAATCATATACTACCTCCGTTTTTATTTAGTTGACACATTTTGACTTTAGCATTATTCACATACCTTTCTTTGACCATGTTTTGTGCTTTATCCGTAATGAAAAATATAGTCATGTGGGATCTTGTTAGATTCGTCATTTTATATACTTTCAAAATATGAACTTTTCATAATTTTTTATTATCAATCATTAAAGATATTAACGATTGAACAAGTGCATTGGCAAACGTGATTACAGAAACATGTCAACTAAAAAGAAACGGAGGAAGTATAAGACTAATAAGAGCATATTTACTGATCAGCTTATATCACGTATCTCCTATCCTATTTCCCTCTCGTTTATATATATACCGACCTACATGCATGGTTTAACCACCTTCATTTTCTTAACAGAAAAGAAAGCAATGTGTATGAACTTCCAACGGGAATGAGAAATCCAACCAGGGAAAATCCCATGTAAAACAGGACACTAACCACTGAGATATCCTTCTCTGCCCAAAAAGAATCACTCCTTTCACAATTCACACTAATGACACAGAGTGCCTAAGCACATAAGATGAAGGTTACAAGCATCAAAGGAGAAAGACAGCACAGAAAACAAGAGAAGATTAAAAAGCAGTTCACTTCATAATTCAAACAGCAAATCTGGAGATCCTTAACGAGAGAAGAACAAATGGAATGCAAAGAAAATTGTAAAGTCACTAACCTCAGATAATATGGGAAATTTTCCAAGGATACATCAATATCACCAGCAGTAATAATAGCCTTACGCAAAGCGTCTTTAAATGCTTGACGCCGGGTTGAAACAAAAGTTGGACGATCAAGATCCTTTAATAAATCCCTTATTTGCCTTTGCTCAGCCAATAATTTCAAGAGGCCGCTACTAAAATCAAAATCAGAGGTAGACGACCTTGCAAGCAGCTGCAAGAACGGCCTCAGTTCATTATTCGATCCAGCAACTGGTCCTTCTTCTGCGTCCAAGCCAGTATCCTTTGCCGCATCATCAATGTTCATATTCTCATCAGACACAGGACCAACTTCCTTCTGATTCAGGGAGACACCACGATAGTCCTGATGTTCCAAGCTATCAGTCATGTCAACGTCACATATACCATTATCTGATGCCCCAGAAAGTGAACCCATAGCAGAGTCCTCATCATTGCCTTTTGAGGGAGGAAGACGAGAAAGTCGTTTGCTATTTGACAACGAAGCCAGTACTCCAGCAGCAGCAGATGAAGACGAATCTCTTCCTTTTGCTTTTGTATCGTTTCCAGTAGCTGGAGCACTCTGGGCTTCTAATATGGCCAATGACGATGGTAAGCCAGGAGCAGCAAAAGTGTCCTTAGAGAGTTGCTGGAAAATCTGTAATTTTATTAAGGAAACTGGCTATGCAACAAGCACTCAACCCACTATCCCAGTTTTCAGCAAGAAATCAAATGCTAATCAATTGCTGAAGGTTAAAGCATATACCAAAAGAAAAAAAAAAGGTAACCACAAGGTAGAATAATACCCACACCTAAACCCATAATATGCTGTTATGACTTATGAGGAAAAAGTATCAGTTTCACAAAGACACACAAACAACAACAATAGCAAATACAAGTCTGATGATAGACGAAAATACTATTCCAAAAGGATACATAAGCATATCTCCCGGTCCCAGCAGAGCCAAAGATCAACTCATCACCGCCAGTTACAGTAAGAGGTGAGGAACTCTTGCAATGGACCTTCCCATTTAGTTGCACAGCTCCTTTTCCTCCTGTAATTTCTAGTCTGATGATAGAGGAACTCCCTCGCTAAAATTTAAGAAATATAATATGTTAGAAATCAAAACGTGAAACAAAATGTCACTCCTTTGCTCTACTCTGTCTTTAGCATATAAATTGACTAGTAAGTGTTCAAAATGCCCATACCTCTATGCGCTGAAGTTTACATAATACTTTACTAACAGTAGGATCTTTCAACCAGAGGTCACATTGACGACCATGACCAACAGTGAATTGAGAACCACGAATAAACTCGTGAGGATTCTGACAAAACAAAATAACCAGAACAAATAATCAATATTACTGCTACTGGAAGGACAAGCAACATTACGATTAGAAACATATTTGGTTAATCAGAAACACTCTGTTAGGGTGAGAGGTTAGCTTTAAAAGCTCACATACGCCTAAAACATCAATTTTCCAGCAAGTACTCAGAAAAAACAAAAAACGGCTAAAGATGTTTATACACCCTACCTAAGCCATAAAAACCAAGGAAAAAGGAAATTTATTTCAAATCAATTACTCAACATTTCCTAGGTCAAAACTAATGCCAAATAAGATTCTCAATTCTAATCATCCAATCTACACCACACTGACACATTTCATGGGATAGCAGGAACATCCTTGATTTGATCCATGGTCCCACTATACAGCGGAAGTGTATTATGAAGTGAACTAATAAAAAGTGGATACTGAAGGGAGGATCTACATGAGAATTATAGCATGAGACATATGGATACCAATTATTACAAAAAGAAAGGAGCAAAATGCTTGCCAGTAACCGTCTCCTATTTGCAAGAAATATTTTCTCATAAAATTACCGTTTTGTATCTACCCCCCAAATTCGATAAACGTATCTCCTTGGGTGACTACCTGAGAACTATTAACATATTGCTGAACAACCTTAATGGCCAAAGGGGAACTTTCTTAATATCATAATAAAAAAATTAAAAAAAAAAGCCAAAAAAATAAAAATAAATAAATAAAAAATAAACTCTAAAAAGAACACAGTTGTGTACATTTATAAAAAGCATTATTCAATTGTCCAAATGCCTAAAACAAACACATAACATCTATCCCTTTTCCAAGTCATAAAAATACAAATAACGGCCTTGTAATACAATGGTTTTAACTTTTACACCATTTATATGCTCTACTTTGACTAGTTTTGATTATTGCAGCAGCAAAAATAGTCATGTGGGATCTTTTTGGATTCATTTATACTAATTTAATATCTAATACACATTGGAAATTAAAGATATTAATGTATCGACAAGCGTGAAAAGATAAGTTGCAAATTTAAAAAGTAGTGGAAGTATATACCAACTTTATTCAAATGACTTTATTGAAGACCCCAACCAAAGCTAACTAGCTAAGTAATATGAAGCACACGCCTACCCTTGCACTAAGGGTTACCAATAAAAAGCTTTGCAATTCAGAATTTTCTAAATAGAGCCACAATGGCATAAGAGACATATTCATCATAAAATTCCAAAAGAATGACGTACTTTATTTATAGCCAACCTTTAAACAGGAGGTTTCTAAAATATTACATTTTTAAGTGACTAAACAAAAAAACTACTATCCGTTCCATAAGATATTTTACACTTTCCACATCTGTCCATTCTTTCTCATTCTTCAACCTTATTAGGTAAATTTTTGGTTAATAAATTGCTACACTCCCCTGCACTAAAAAGAAGACCACTTTCTGTCCACTTACTTATTCCCACACGCTACCTTACTTTTAACACACTTTCTTTTTATTATAAATTTGTGCACAAATAATAACCATAAAGAATATTTAGGAGCATAGGTAGTACTCCGTATAAATTACACAAGTATTTGGCAATCATGAAAGTTTTATACACAAACTTGATCAAGGCCAATAACTAGAAATGGTAATAATAAACAATTTACTATAATAACTAGCTTCCAGACATTGCTATTTGTCCTTCAATATATGGAAAAAATGACACATACCCCTTCAATGAAAAGGAACACAACGGTTCAACAGCAAATATTACTATAAAAACACAAATCAAAAAGTCATGGAAAGTAAGCTATTTCTTCTATAGAGGCTCTTTATGCAATTTATATACTTATCCAACATAGAGTTTTTTTTTATCATTTTCCTTGTCAATAAGCAGTGGATCAGGATGTACATAGTCCAATTTTAGCACGAAGTTCAAGATATCGAAAACATTTAAATTCAAATTGTTACAACAGCGATTTAAGCTACTATGACAGCTAGCTTAACATATATTTTAATATATCAACAAAAATTCCTTGATAAATTTAAGCTTCAGCAAATACAAACCCATTATTGGCTTCACAGGCTACAATAAGTCGATAAGCCATGAACTTATCACATTCAACAAAAACCATAGTGAATGATTTCATTCAAAATGTTTTAATAAGCAACCATAGAAACAAATCAAACAATACAATTGTCAATCCCAGAACTCAATTCAAAAAGTAACTCAAGACGTCCATTTGTAACCACCAAAACCCATAATTGGCTTCACCCATTACATTAAGCCATAGACTCATCTCACTTGAAAAAAAAAAAAAAAAGAACATACTTATCACATTTCACAATTTTTTGATTCAAAACGGTTAGATTGACACACCTACAAACAAAGACGATGCAACCGTCAACCCCAAAACTCAATTCTTAACTGTAACTCGAAACATTCATATGCTACCGCAAAACCACAACAAAGAAAGAGACTTTATTTTCTTCTACGTCAAAAACCCAACAAAAGAACAATTCTTTACACAACACTTACCTCGGAAAACTGCGAAATGAGCTGCCCCCAAGCGGCGGGTTCAGTTCGAACATTCTTCTTTAGGCGTTGCCGCTTGACACCGGTCTTTGTTTCTTTCTCATCCACCACCGCATCCTCAATACCCCCTAAAGAAAACCCCCAAATTCAAATTAAACCCAAGAAACCCAATTCAATCAACAAAATCAAAACATGCAAATCAACTAAAATCCTTACCTTTGACTTGAACAGCAGGAGATTTCTCGGAAAAATTCAAATCTGAGGGTTTATCGGAACCGGTAACCGGCAGATCAGCGGATCCAACCTCAGGTGGGTCCCGCGATTCAGCCCCCAATTGATTACCTGCCGCCGCAGTAGTCGTCACCTCCTCAACTGGCAGCTGTGAAACAGACTTATCCTCCGTCGACGATGACGCTTCCGAATCCTTAACAATCAATCAAATCAAAGCAATCAATTGATCAAATCAAAATCAAAATCAAAAAACCAAAAACCCTAATTTTCGAAAATTGAACCCAATTAAATTAAAATCTAAAAATCAAACCTTGGAACGTTTGGAAGCAGGAAGAGGGGAATCAAGAGGACGTTTGGAAGAAGAAGAACTCCGGCGAGTTTCCACCATGATTAGGGTTGCGAAGGAATTTTCTCTCTCCTCTTGATTTTCGTCGTCTTCTTCTTCCTCTGATCTGAAGGATTTGGTTTTAGAGAGAGAAAGAGATGGCGAACTAAGAGAGAGAGAGATATGAAAATAGTTGCGGAAGATCAGTTGAAGAGCTTGTTCTGCGTTCTTTTTAGGTGAGTTTTTTTATAATGTGTTTATTTTTTTAGAGGTCTTGTGTTGCTAAATGCCGTTTTATTTCTTTTTACTTAATGTAGAAATGTTTTTTTAATGTATAATAAATAAAATATTTAAATATTAAATGTCTAAATTATCCTTATCTAAAAATCCTTAAATGTTTACCGTATACAACTAGTTGGTTTTTTAATAAGCAGGGTATATTCTAATCGACTGAAATCAGCTGAAGTGAAATGAACTGAAATGAATATTTATACGGAGTAAGAAAAGTAAATTAGGAGTTGAACTGAATTGAAAATAAATTTATGAGAACAGGCCTGTAGTCTCTCCATTTTCGAAAGAAGGTTAAGTTTAGTAGGGTTTTTTTTTAATAAGAAGTTTAGTGGTTTTTCAAGATTGAAAGGGAAAATAAAATAGTGAAAATAAGCATAATATTAACATGGTAAATAGGAATGTTTGTATTGGGAGTATGTAATTATTTTTGTAAGTAGAAATAGTTGCATTGAGAATATGTAGATTTTTTTTTTTTTGAAACCATGTAGATATTTTGATAAATGGGGATAATTGCATGGAAAATATGTATGGATGGATAAATGTGTAAAAATAAAATAATTATATTAATTTAAGAAAAAATTAAAACGTAACTATTAAAAATATGCCAAAAAGGGAAAACATAACTGTAGGCGTCGTTGGAAGTGCGCCTACGTTAAAAGCATGTGTGAATATGTTTGGCACTCATAGGAAGTGGGAATTGACATAGACGATTAGGGACAAGGAAAGTAGGGAGCCGCCAACAAGTTTTTAAGGAACTTGTAAACCGTTCACGGATCATAAAAGGCAACCACGATAAAGGGACAACGAAGGCAACAACGATTGACCCGTGAAGGTTACACCCCATTCATAATCCATGAGATTACTAACTCTATATGGTTCGGAACCACGAAAGGAGGATCGGGGATGATGGTACGAAGTAAGTCATGGAGTCACAGTCGCCCGTATTGGCCTCTACTCGATTCTTATAGTGAAAAGTGATTCATGCGATCTCAAAGGCATGCAAACAAAGATTCAATTTGCTCCAAACTATTATTAGGCTAAATTGGTTGAATATTAATGCAACATATAATTCTAATATATTTGTGATCACTTGATTAAAAAACAAGATTAAAAGGAACCTAAACCGGTTGTCCAAATTATCTTATTAGGCGTGATTTTCAATTACATATTCCCTTTAACATGCAATGTTGTGATCAATAAATATAATAAAATAAATATTAATATTGGAAGCAATTTAACAATAATAGCGTTAGTCAAATCAAATATAAAATAACCCTAATCATGATGCTAGTAATAAGAAAAAGGAAATTAAATAAGAATTAATTACTCACATTCCGCGCGTTCCTTTAAATTGCTACATCATGAATAAACTGTTAGTAACTTCAATAAAAATATAAAGCAAATGAAAATTAAATTAATTAAATATAGATTTGATTTGGTCCAAACCCTCAGTTAATTATAACTTTCACACCTTGATTTAAGTATAAAACTTCGGGTATTGTATGAACTCCTTGGAGTGCTTGAAGAAGAAATTTTGAAAGAATAAGGGTAGGCTAGTGTTTAGGCTAGAACATAGAAGGAGAAAAAGCTAGAGAATTAATTGATGCCCCGTACATCATAAATGAGGGGGTATTTATAGAAAAAATGTGCTGAGGGAACACACGGAACCCTAAAATGATAAAAAAAACCCTAAAAAAGTATCCCGCGACACGGCAAAGTGTACCGTGACACGGGAAATCCCGGGAAATCCCGCCGTCAGACGGGAAACATTCCCGTGACACGGTGCACATTTTGTGTGACGCGGGAAATATTAAGTGAACGGGAGAGAAAACGCGTTAAGGGTTTACGCGGGAAGGACACGGAAATTCCTGTGTCACAGCAGGTTTCCCGTGTCACGGGGAACCCCACCGTCAGACGGGAAGGTTTCCCATGACACGGTGGACTGTTGCCGTGACACAAGAATTTTCAGTCCGCTTTTCCGTCTAAATTCATTTTTAACCCTAATTTCGTTCAGCATTTTAAGTGTCGATTGATAATTTCGGGCCATTTTCTGATTTTATTATTATTTGGGCTAAAATAAAAAAAAAAACATTTGGGCCAAAATAAATAATAAAACAGTAAAATAAAAAAGGTTTGGGCTAAATTTAAATAATAAGTTTGGGCTGAAATTAAAACTATACTTTGACCAAACATCAAGACTAATCCATAGACTATTCAAAAATTGAATTTAATCAAATATGATTTTTTAAGCACTCTCGGGATTAAATACTGAACCCGACCAATAATGGCGGTGAAAGGTTGTTCATCATCGGGTTTGGTTTTGGGGAGACATTTTTAGGTGTCTACAGAAGCCCCCACTTTGACTGAGTTTGTAGAAACGCCAGTTTCGAAAACGATAGTCAAAGTACTCGATAGAGACGGAGAATGATTTAAGACGTTCTGCGATCCTAAATCACTCTGTATACGCCGATACCTGCAGAAAAATGTTAATTCCACAGATAAAAAGAGTAAAAGGATAGAATACGTATCTGGCACCAGTGTATCGGTGACAAATGAGTTTGGCAGCTTCCTATGCTTGAAGGAATCCACCGGATAACGTTCGTTGAAACGTTTTCCATGCCTGAGGAAAGCCAACTGAGGGATTTGGTAACTTTCTAAGCCTGAAGAAATCTACCAGATGATACTTTCCATGCTTGAGGAAAGCCGACATATGAATTTGGCGGTTTTCTATGCTTGAAGAAATCCACTGGATAATACTTTCCATGCTTGAAGAAAGTCGACAGATGATGAGATTGCAAGTCTCTGTGTATCGAGAACCTTGCGCCGTGAAATGATGGTGGTTCGATTGTCCCCGAACGTGGGCTATAGTTGGTTTGCTTGTCCCCGAACGTGGGTTGTAGATGGTCCCTGTAAATGGTCCGCTTGTCCCCGGACGTGGGCTGGTTGTAAATGGTCCGCTTGTCCCCGGACGTGGGCTGGTTGTAAATGGTCCGCTTGTCCCCGGACGTGGGCTGTAAATGGTCTGCTTGTCCCCGGGCGTGGGCTGTAGATGGTCCGCTTGTCCCCGGACGTGGGCTGTAATTGAGACCTGCAAAATAAAATTTGCCAAGGGACTCGTATAGACTATGATTGACTTGACCAACTGACTTGACCAAGTTTGACTTGACACGACATGACATGACATGAGTATGACTTGTGATTGAGTGTGTGTGCAGACACAAGCAATCGAAAATGCAAAAGCAAAAAATTTTCATCATTTTTGTCATGAGACGAGTGGAGGGTATCGACTTTCTCCCGAAAAAAAAGACGTGAAAAATGAAATTTTATTTTCGAACTTCCCTCGATAAAAATTTTGAAAAAGTTTTTGAACTTCCCCAAAATAAAATAACGAAAAAGGGAAGAAGTTTTGAATTTCCTCCTTGAGCAAGACGAAATGAATCGTATGGATTGAATTGCTTGTCCTGAAAATAATGTATGCATGATGCATTTTCTTAGGCCAGGAGGCTAAAAACAATTACATCATGTGACACAATAGATGAATGAACTTAAGTCATGGGGCTAAGCATCATATATGGTGTAAAGAAGCGATCTTGAACGTCACTTAGGTCTGGAAGCTAAGAACGTATATAGATGAAGTGATTATGAACGTTGCTTAGGTCAAGGAGCTAAGAACGATATGCTTTGTATTATTACAAATCATTGATATAGAAATGTTACTCAGCACATTATGCAATGCATGAAACAATGAACATTGCTCGGGTCAAGAAGCTAAGCAAGTATACAACGTTTCTTCTGATGAATGTTGTCTTGAAAGATGATGAAGCATGCACGGTAGGGAAACAAGATTTCATGATAAAGGGTTCCTAAGGGAAAGATGATATGGATATGTATGTGTGAAAGAAGTGTGTGAAAGTGATACTAAGGTGAGGCTGCAAAGGTTATAGTGATGGAAATATATGTGTGAAGAGTCAAAGATGATGACTCTTTAGGCTGGGTAAGCTAATGTGATGTGGGTTCAAGCCCCCAAGTCTATCTCTAAATGGATAGGGATATAGATGTAAGCATTGGATATTCTTTGACTCGATCATGCATAGATATGAATATGAATGTGGCCGCACCTCAATGTGAGGCTGCCTACGTATCCGTTAGGAATCAGGCCGAACGTAGCTCTAACCGAACTTTGCACAAGTGTATGTACACCTCAAAGAGGTCTTTCAAGGGTTGTAATGTGTTTAAGTTGATGGTTTAGGAATAAAGGGGTAAAAGGCTCAAGACCCGAGAGAATCCCCAAGATGTGTAATTGTGAATTTGAATTTTGCAAGTTTATTTTCAACATTTTTTTTTGGCTTTTCGTTTTTTTTTTCATTCTTTTGAATCAATGTAGGCAATCTCAGATCATGCGATCCATCACTCACTTAGAATTCATGTTTCTCAGGTACGGTACCAAGCACTCGATAAGAGACGCAATTTGAGACATTTTCATATCAAAGACATTGGAACACTTGCCTTTAGACATTGTTTTATTGTTGCTTTGCTGCTTTTTTTTTTTACTTACTTTTTGAATGTTATACAATTACACATCTTCCAATCCCAGGGTTAAGTAAATGTGGGTTGAAGAAATGAAGGTCAAACGTTAGACGAGGCTCAAAATGGTTGATGAAGAAATGGAATGTGATTGAACAGTTAACAGGGGATGGCAGGGTTGCAAAGGTGCCTCAAGTCATTGGTGTACCTTAAGTTTAGTTCGGTAATTGATTTTTTTTTCGAGAATGAATGAATGAATGAATGAAAAATTCTATGATCGAGATGTAAAGGAAATTTGCCCATTTTATTATGGAAAAGGTGAACGAAACACATGAAACGTATAAAAATTCAAAATGGAAAACCTATGCTAGACATGAATGGGGGGCTGGAGATGAATGATAAAGAAAGAAATCATGAAATCTTGCACGAAGGATCTGCTGTGCGCCTTGTGTTCAATACTTCTTGCCGCCTGGAGGGACAGAAGGTTTGTT